AGTTTCAAAAATGATTACTTAAAATTTTAATTCTAAGATCATACTAGTGGAGCAGCACTGGCGTGTTGCTAATTCGGGCGATCGTCTAAAACTCTGTATATACACAGTTTTGGCACGCGCCCCTTCACGTAAGCTTTTCACTGGAAAAAAATGGCCAAGATGAAGACAAGCACGTCCGGAGGAAGCAAGCAGAGATCGGCAAAAGACGCTTCCTTTGCGCCAGTGTCAAATGCAGGTATGTGCATCAATAGATCTTAACTATTAAATCCATTCATACTATATAAGTGCGATGATGTTGTCAAATCGAGTTGTAGAAACTACAAACAACTCCAAATGTAGCTCGAGTGTTCCAAGTGCGACGAAAGAAATAGTTTATGTCTTCAATGAAGACTGGAGATGAATCAAATAAAGAAACTGGCACAGGCCCCGCCGTACACGACGACAAACCGCAAGACCGCGCAACACGTGCTCGTGCAGTCAAAGCTGCGAAGTTGCAACACCGTAAGGTCTATCGTCGTGCCGTATTAGAGATTTTGTTCGTCTAATTGTTCCTCGTGCTTATGGCAATATAGGTAAGGATGTTCTAGCGATTCGCGTGCGTCAAGCTGCATATGCACGTAGCTTCAAAAAAAGGAAATTTTTAAAAGTGAAGCTTGCGTAAGAACAAATAAATTGGCATGTACGGCACATGGCGAGGCCGCGGCTCGCAGGGGCGTAGAGCGCCATGTCCATGTTCTAGTGCGGAATGTGGTTCTCGCCACCGTAGTCGTAGCCATAGAAGAACAGTGGCTTGGCGTGCTTCGTCCTCGTCATCGCTGTTGTTGTTGTATCCTCCCGCCATAATACCTTTCTGCAATCCACTTCACAGGGATAAATGAAAAGTAAACTCTGCGATAATAAAAATATCTGGTTCTGTGACATTACTCAACTTTTCGACCGGTTTGTAGGACAAACAGAGTACAATATTTGGGTCGCTATAAAACGAACCTATACCCACTTCAAGCCATCGAGACTTTATTGTTACGAAACCGTTTTACCGTAACCATGAAGCGTCAACAAGGAAGGTTGTAAAAACGGAATCAACTGATCAAACCGTTTGGAAAACTCACCGTACACAAATGACAAGAGCCCACAGTGGTGTAGAGCACTTTACCATCACCGGTACTTATGCACACTACTGCGATGTACTAACTACTGCCGATATTCTAAGCATTAACTCAAGCCAATTAACCTTAGTAAAAGTACTCTAACTACGCTAAAGATTCTTACTACCCAGTGGGTTTAACTTGTTTGAAAAACGTTACTTAGCGTTAGCGGAAATTAGAACTACCAATTCCGTTGAAGCTCCTGACCGTTTTTGTAAGCCGTACCCTATTAGAAGCCGTTTGAAAAAACGTACTGCACACGCAGTAGCATAAAATAGTGAAGCCAAGTTAAATTTACTAGCCTTACAATTTAATCAATCGACATGGTGTCGTCAATTACGTAGTCTCTGGGTATATCAGATAGTATGTAAGCTACTTTAAGTGACCTTTACATATCCTCACTACTACTTATGGAGCCAAACCATCCATTTTGGTGGCGACATCTAGCGCTCGATCTTGCGCAGATGCCTACTGACGACATGATCACATCTGTGAATGGCTTCAAGCATCATTTGGTGGCTTTCCTCTTTCTTAATCTTGACAAGCCGGTGAAAATAGTTCGGTCCTGGCACTTCGTGATACATACGTCTCCTCTTCTCTTCGGCACCAAGTGCAGCCCGTGTGCGGCGAGCTTGATCTCGTCGTCTTTCTCGCAATCAAAGTAGTCGGCGCTCGAGTTTGGAAGGTCGTCGTAACGTGGCAATACTGTAGGCCTTTGAACCGTTTTT